TCTCCTTCTAGCTCTGACCCACTTAAGGAGCCCGCACTGGGACAGGGGGTCATGATCCCTATGTTCTGCTCGCCTCACCTCCTCTCCACCTAACACCTACTGGTTTCCAAATAAGGCCACATTCACAGGTACTGGGGGTTAGGAAAGGAGCCTTGGTAGCGCAGTGGTTAAAGCGCTCAGCGGATAACCGAAAGGTCCATGGTTGGAACCCCCCAGCCACTCCACGGAAGAAAGATGTGGCAGTCTGCTTCCATAAAGAATTACAGCCTTGGAAACCCTATGGGGCCGCTCTACTCTGTAAGTCAGAACCGAATCAACTCGACTGCAACGAGTTTGGTTTTTTTGGTTTGGGAGTTAGGACATCAACATGTCTTTTTAGGGGATACAAATCAACACATAAAACTCTATTTCCCTAGTCCATTCATCCCCTCTTCTGCTCTCTTAGAAACTATATTCTCCTCTCCTCAAACCTCTGACTCTTCCTCCATTCTCACTTTCAACTGATGAATTTGCTTCCTGCTTCCCTGAGAAAATCAAAACAACCAGAAAAGAACTTCTCAGGCCCTATCCCTGATCAACTAAATCAGAAACTCTGGGGGGAGGGCTTAACATTATAACAAGCCTTCCAGATGATTCTAAAGTTTGAGAACCATTACCTTATAGGGTAACCCCCCTCTCATCCCCATTTAATTCCAACTCTCTTGCCCCTCCTTCAGTCTGCTCTAGCCACACTGGTCTTGTAGTTCCTTAAACAGTGGGCATACTGTTATTTCTTAAGGAGCTATATATGGTCCTTTCTTCAGTCTAAGTTCTCAACATTAAACACTGAAAGTTAGGCATGGGCTTGAACAAGAAGTTGTCCTGAAGCTACTGATGGAGTAGGGAGGACCTGGATCAGGGTGACTGGAGGGGGCCCTAGTGGGGGCTGGGCTGAGGTAAGAGGAATTGGAGCCTAAGTCAGATCCAGGGAGATGCTGACTCAGGTGGCCTGAGCCAGAATAGGCAAAGGGAAAATCCAAATTGTAAGTGAGGGAAGAAAGCACGAGAGGGAGGAAAGCAGCTGTCCTGCTGGGCACAATAAGAAAAATGAGGAAATTAATCAAGATCTGGGAATATAAATAACATTTGGTAAAGAACACAAATATGGAGCTATAGAAGGTGAGGAGAGTCCTACAGTGAGATACCCTGCTACTCCAACACATCCCTTGGACTTTGTGGCTTGCCTCCCCCTCCTGCCCCATGGAGGTGCCACAACAGTCAGGTCTCACTGGGGAATCCTGACAGTGAGACTGGGGAGGACTGTCAGGGCATTTTATTCTGGCTGCCTGGCAGTCAGCTCCACACACTGGCCTCACATCACTTCCAAAATGAGTCTCTCTAGCAGGCTATGCAAACCCTCTGCCCTCTTGAAATCCATGCCATTCAGCCTCTCCTTCCCTTTGTCTGCAGATCTCCTGGGCCCTCCCCCTCCCTCAAGACACTGGCACTTGTTCTACTGCCAACCCCTGCCATCATCCTGGAGAACATCAAAGTCTATGCAGACAACCCCTCCCCGCAATACCCGACCCCTCAGTCATCAACCAATTTCCAAGCCACCTTCCCACTCATGCCTCTCACTCACTCTCATGGCCACCCCAGACTTCGTTATCACCAGGAGTTGCTCTGCTTCCAAAATCAATAATTGAAGCGTTCCTAATTCTGACCACTGCCTCCCACCCTCCCAGGTCACTTGTTCAATTACTCCCAGTCCAAGAACCTACTCCTGTCTTCACTTTCCTACCTGTTCTATAAAATGCCATGGTCCACCAGAGCAATCACTTTCTTGGTAATGGTCTGAAACTCCTTTACTCATTCTCCTTTCATCCCAACCCCGGAAGATCCCTCCCATAGGTACACTTAGATTCCTGAGAAGGTAGAGAAAACCACACCATTGAGCTGATTAGTACTACAAATTCACAAACAACAGTACTATGAATTCAAGCAGGCCCTCCACATTACTCAGCAATCCTCACTGCACTGCAATCTGACTTCTCCCTCATCTTAACCTTTCAACACCATCTGACAGCTGATAACCTCCCCATTGTTCCAACATAAAAATATCCTCCTCTATCTCTGGCCCCACCTTCTAATCTTCCTTCACTTTTACAGGTTCATTTTCTTTTACCCATCCATTAAATGCTCCTCAGAGTTGTATTCTGAGCCAATGTGTCTTCTCATTATCTTACCCTGAATATCTCATCTACTCCTATGACTTTAATTACCACCACTAGGCTGCCATCTCCCAAACACCTACCGCAGACCTCTCCTGGGATTTGTATGTCCCGCTTAACAAATGAATATCTACAAAGGCATCTAAATTCCAACACTTTGAATGGCACCACCAGCCCACCCAATTGCTTAAGCCAGAAACCTGGAACTTACTTCAGACTCCCTTCTCTCTCATCCACCTCCAACCTCCCACCAGTTCTATCTATTAACCTTCTCCTGTCAGCCCACTTCTTCCATCACCACTAGTCCACAGTGCCCTCACCTTGTGCCCTGGGTTCCTGCAACACCTCTGCTCCCATCAATCCCACTCAGCCAGAACTTGTCATTCCTTACCTCCTCCCTTAGGTGAACAAGTGCATAAGCCCTGGGAATACAACGATAAACAGGGCTCGAGAAGCTCACAGTCTAATGCACGAAGCAAGCACAACCCAGTATTTAAATGCTGAAGGAGCACACTTCACATAGTGCTTTGAGAGTTCAGATGAAGAAATTAATTCTGCTTTGGAAATGAGGGAGTAGGAAACAATTAGGCTGTTTTGAAGAGTGAGCAAAGCTGCCATTCAGACAGGTACAGTTGATCCTCATTATTCATGAAGTTCATATTTGTGAAATTGCCTGTTGTGTGTCACGGAGTTGATTCTGACTCACAGTAACCTTACAGGACAGAGTAGAACTGCCCCATAGGGTTTCCTAGACTGAAATCTTTATGGGAACAGATGACCAGTTATTCTCTCCTGCAGAGTGGCTGGTGGGTTCAAACTGCTGACCTTTAGGTTTGCAGCTGAGCGCTTAACCACACACCACCAGAATTCCTTAATTTGCATACTTGCTAAAATTTATTTTTAACCCCAAATCCATACTCATGGTACTTCCAAGGTCATTCATGGACATGCACAGAATGAGAAAAAAATTTGAGTTGCCCGACGCACATGTTCTCAGCTGAGCTAGAACCAGGTGACGCTCTGTCTTCTTGTTTCGGTTCTCATACTATAAACAAATCTATCTTTTTGTGATCTATTTAGTGCCATGTTTTCTGCATTTTTGTTGGTGATTTTGCTGCTTAAAATGGCCCCTAAGCCCTGTGAAGTACTTGCTAGTGTTCCTAAGCACAAGAAGGCTGTGATGTGCCTTATGGAGAAAATATGTGTGTTAGATAAAAACTTTGTTCAGACATGAGTTACAGTGTTGTTGACTATGAGTTCAATGTTAATGAATCAACAATATATATTAAAGAAGGTATCTTTAAACAAAAACCCATATAAAACAAAGTTATGTTTCATATAACAAAAACGTTGTGACTAGAGGCTTGCCGGAACCTAACCCTGTATTTCCCCTAGGAGCAATGGTTCAGTATTCAATAATTCGGTGTTCAGAGTGACTTTATAGAACATAACTACTGCGAATAACAAGAATTGGCTATATTTCAGCAAACAGCACATGCAAAGGCACTATGCATTGTCTGTCAAATGGTTCCCAACCCAGCCCCCAGACATGCCTTCTAGCCTACAGTCTGTCCCCAAAACTCTGTCGCTTTACTGGAGGCATACACTGGCTCAGAGCCCTGGAAGCTCTGAGTGGGAGTGTCTTCCCAGTGACCACTCTCAGTTCTTGTTTTTGGAAATAGGTAAGAAGGGGCTGCATTTTTACCCAAGCCCATGGCAGATGCGTTCTGAGGAAGGCCTGAGATATATTATCCAACTCCTCTTACCCCTAAGCACTAGCCCTCCTTGTCCACAGCTTTCCCAGGATGTGCTATCCTGGGAAGAGATGGACAGACCCTTTTGCGAACAAACAGCCCAATCCCCCCACCCCAACATAGCATCAGCCAATAATTTATGCACAGAGACCCAGTTCCCTCACAACCCTCCTCCAAGGACAGCTCAGAATCCATCAAGAATCTCTAAATATCTTATGAAATGAGCCTGCTGAAAAGCCTATTCTGAGCTCTCCCAGAGCCCTTCTCAGCCAACAAATCCATTCTTTACCTTTCAATCTCCATTCCTGACCAGAAAAGGTCTTCAAAGAACAACAAGGCTTACAACACATGATATCCATAGTTATGGTTTATTGAGCACCTCCTATGTTCCCAGCCTGGGCTATAGATTTCCTCAGTTGGCCCACACCAACAACCCCACAAGACAGGAGTCCTCACCATTTTCCAAATGAGGAATCTGACTTTCAGAGACTAAATGACTCCCAGCTCTTAAGTGGCAGGCTTGGATTCAAACCCAGGTCTACATGGCTCCAAAATCTTTACTCAGCCATACACACACCAGAGCCCCACAGGAAAACAGGTGCTGGGAGTGGTTTAGTCCGTACGGCTCCCAAGTTGGAGATGACAAAAGCAGGGAGAGACGAACCACTAGACGTGTACAGTGCAGGGAACATCCAAGCAATCTTGGCCCACCTCACAGCTACGGTGACAGCTTGCATCCACCCAGAAGCCGAGAACTGACGTGCTGAGCCACAGTGTTGGTGGGCTACCAGCGACAAGAAGCAACACCTGCCTGTCTACAGCCTTGAAAGCCTGGGTAGAACAAAGCTGAAGGAGCAGAACCTGTGAGTGAAGAGATGAGCTGATCTGCAGAGAGAAGATCTGAAGAAAGGAGCAGAGACAGCAAGACAAGTCCATGTGGCTCCTGAGATGGAAAGAGAAGCTAAATCCAGAGATGCCCTGAATTCCAAACCGTGTAGTTTCCATGACACCTAAGGGGATTCATAGTTCCTGGACATCCCCGTATTCTCAGAATAAATCCCTTAGTGTTTAGCTAGTCTGAGTGATTTCATGGTTCTTGTAACCAAGGAAGCCTCCGTTACAACAGGGGCCAAGCCAGGGCCTTTATCACACTTTGTTCTTTGGATGCGGGCAGGGTGATATCAGGTCCTAGCCCACAGTCTGGCTGGCTACAGTCTTCAGGGTTCTAAGCCAGGAGTTCAAACCCTGCCTCCCCTTTCAAGGGAGGTCCAGCGGTCACCTGCGCTTGTAGAGACATGGCTGAAGCTTCAGGCCTGAGAGTTCAGCCTTTGGCCCAACCCGAGGGGGTCCAGTCTTTTGGAAGTCAAACAAGAAGAAGTGGCTGTTGGTCAGGTCCTAAGGGCAGAAAAGACCCAGTGAGCTACAAATCCTCGTCCTACCTGCTCAAAATACCTCCCTCCATTTCCTGCCCCTGTTCAGAAAGCATCCCAGGGCTCCCCCATAAGTTGTGCCTTCAGAGAGCAAATGTCTGTTCCTGTGCTTATGGCCTCCTTCCTGCACACCATTCCCCTAAAATGGGGCACACGTAAAACAAAAATAGACTTCCTAGGGCACTCACCTTGGAGACAACCTTGAAGCCCAACTTGGTTACAGCCCCCAGAAAGGCCCGAACATCTTCAAAGCGGCTGCTGACCTCAGCCACTTTCAGGAGACCCCTGAGAAGGAGGGAGAGTTCCGCGTAAATGCACGGACATGCACATGCACACACATATGTGCATCTGTGTCCGGGGGTTCCTACCCTGGTTTCAGCACTCGATTTGCCTCCTCTAGGAAGTCCCTGATGTTGGTTCCCATCAGTGACAAGCAGAACACAGCCACATCCACAGACTCATCCTCCAGAGGCACCTGTGGAGAGAGGGACTATTGTATGACACACACAGCTGGGCACATGGGGGCAGGCACACGGTGTGGGGAGGAGAAGCCAGCACTGGGTGCTAGGGTTTGGCATCTGGGAGGTGGAGAGAGTGAAAGAAGGGGCAGGGTTTAAAAAGATGAGCACATGGACCTAGAGCACAGGCCAGATGCGTAGAGAGATTTACCTGGGCCATGTCACACACAGTAACCCTGGAGTCCAGGGAGGCCAGGTCAAAGCAATGCACAGGGTTCCGGACACTCAAAGCCAAGCGACAGTCCCCACAGCCGAAGTCAGCCACCACCAGGGATGCAGGCCTGGGAATGGAAGGGAAGGGTCACTCGCTGACCTGGCTGGAACCCATGACTGACCCACATCACTTCTCACATTGCCCACCCCCCATTCACCGCTGGCGAAGATCCCTGATGATGCGGTCCACAGGCTGCAGTGGCCACTTCTTGACTTGGTTCTGGAAGCCACGGTGGTAGAGGAGAAAAGCCTCCGGGTCTTCCTGGAAGAGGCGCTGTGCAGCACTGCTGGGCCCTGAGTATAGCTGTTCGTTGAGGTAGCGAAATCGGGCGCCATCCAGCCTCTGTGCCATGCGGGCTCGCAGAGCCCCTGCCCGAGCCTCATGGCTGTCTGGCCTGGGAGCAGGAGGTGCCTCTGCCTCCTCTGTGGGAGCCAGGGCCGGAGCCTGGGCTGGTGGTTGAGGTGGCCGAAACTTGTTCTTGTGTCTCCGCTTGTTCTTCTGCCGGTTCCGCCACTGCTTGCGGCTCAAGGCATGGGGTGGTTGAGGAGAAGCAGACCCAGGGCTTGGCTTGTGTGGGTCATTCGTAGCACTACCCTTCTGGGCTTTGGAATCTGCAGGTAGGGTGATGGGAAGGTAAGATCCTCTGCGTGCAGACACTTGGCAAGTCATCTTGGCCATATGCCTGTCCTTGGTATTTTTTTTATTATGGTAAAAATATACACAACAAAACATTCACCAATTCAACACTTTCTACATGTGTAATTCAGTGACACTGATTACATACTTCATGTTGTACAACCACTGTCACTATTCTTTTACGAATTATCGTACCACTGTTAACATAAACTCAGTATCCCCTAACGTATGCCTGCCCTTGAGAACAGACTGTGGTAGGGATGAAAATACTTCTTATTGGCTACCCCAATCCTAATAGTGGCAGCTAGCCTCTGTCATATGCAGGATCAGCTGATCTCCCCTTCCTCCCCCTGCCCTCCCCACCCATATCCAAGAATACCTGTTTGGTCACCACTGTCCAGGTGCTGGGCTCTGCTTGACGGGGCCTGTTTCTGGCATTTGCTCTTTCTTTTCTCCTCTTCAACAGAACCACTGCCAAGAAGAGCCTGTTTGCAGCTTTTCTTCTTTCTTTCCACTTCCTCATCCTCAGAATCACTCCCATATGAGGCCTGTTTTTGACGTTTCTTCTTCCTTTTCTCCTCTACTTCAGCAGAGGCACTGGCAAATGAGGCCTTTTTCCGGCGTTTCTTCTTCTTTTCTATCTCCTCCTCTTCAGAGTCACTTCCAGGTAGGCTGGGAGGTTGCTGGGGAAGAGATGCAGCCTCCAGGGCCCGTAAGGTGGCCAAGAGCTGGCGGTGCTTCAAGCCCTGCAGGTAAACAAGGTATGAGAGTAGGGTGAGGAGGATAGATAAGTTCTGGAGTGTAGGAAAGGAGAGATGGGGGCCTGATTCAGATGCTTGTGGAGATATCTGGATTCTTCCCAGTCAACTTAGCTAGACTGGGAAGCCTGCCAAACCCTGAAGAATGTTCATGTCCCAATCCCAACCTTTGGGAAGTGGAGGGCAGAGAAACCACCCACTCCCCTTTCTTCAGTGTACAGTGGCCAGAGACCAGGAGTTCCAACTCTCAATTTCAGGCTTTTGTCCCCAGCTGATGATACCGTTCTATATTAGGTAGAGAATCCAGAAGGCTTCTGAGTACAGGAAAATGACAGGATGAGATGTGTGCATTAACGATACCTCTAACTGCAGTGTCAAGAACAAACTGAAGGAGAAAAGCTGCAGACAAAGAGACCAGTGAAGAAGTTGTTGCAAGTGGCCAGGCAAGAAAACAGTGATCTGGATTGTGGCAATGAGCTGAGGGGATGAAAAGGGAATAAAGCAGGAGATGTCAACCAGGCAGATTCCATGTTGGAGGCCCACTAAAGGGCACAGGAAGGAAGAGCGTGAGGAAGTACAGCAGTCGGCACATCTGCAGAGGCTCAAAGGTGGAGGCCTACAGTAGGGGAGGCTGATTCTGAGCTGAAGTCCTGCTGGATGGTCCTAGTCCAGGCACTTACCTTGGAGGATCTCAGTTCCCACCCACAGTCCTTTGAATAGTAATAATCATAACCCTTTGTTGTCATGCACACTTGCTCTCTTCAACCCATTCTCCACACTGTAACCAGTGATCTTTTCAAAATGCAAATCTGAACAAATCACTCCCCTTTTACAAACACTTCACTGGCTTCTCTCTACCCTGAAAACATACAAAACTTCTACCTCTCCAACTTCAACCGCATCCTCTCTCACTCATTTTCTGAGCTCCATCCACAGAGATCATTTTTTGAGGACCCTAACAGGTTGTGCTCTCTCGTCCCAGAACCTATGCACGTGCTTTTCCCGTCTAAGGAACCCTCTTTGCTTCAACTTCTACTCATAAACAGGTATCTCTCAGCTCAAACGTCATTTTCTCTTAAAAGTTTCCGGATCTTCCATCAGAACTCACCCCCAACGGTGCCACAGGTGCCCTACTTACCCACCCAAAACACACGTGGTGTGACCCGGCGCTGGGATTTCCCTAAGGGTCTGTTCCGCGGCCCGAAGCTGGTCTCAGTGCCTCTGCGCGGCCACTCACCTTGGTTTGCACCGCTGCCGCGGGCCGCGGCCCTGTGGCTACGGGCGCGAGGGCCGTGGCTACTGGGGCCTCCTCGGTCCATTCGGGCTCATCGAACATGAGGGCCAGGAGGTCGGAGTCGCCGAGTCTGGCGTCCCTCCAAGTACGACAGCGTCTCCCGGAGTCGGAGAGTCTACACCAACCGGACCAGAGCTGAAAACCAAAGAGTGAAAGCCAGGGGCGGCTAGAGCGGCCGGCGCAGCGCCGGAAACCATCGAGTTTCGACACTAGAGAGCTAGAAGGGCGAGGGAGGGGCAGGAACGGCAGGAGAGAGGCCGGCTCTGGCCAGCTAAGGCCAGGGGCGGGGCGGGCTGGGTGGCGGGCGCGGCCGGACGGGAGTTCCCCGGAGAAGGCGTTTGGAGCCCGAGTCCCGGTGAGTGCGGGGCCACCCGCGCCGCTCCCCAGCCCTCGGGCCTGCCAGCCCGTCACCCCTCACTACGCGTGAATTCCGAGAAGGGAACGGGGGCCACACCCGGGAATCCCCTCTTGCCGGGTGCAGGGTGCCTGGACCTCCCCATTCCTGCCCCCACCCCCAGCTCTGTTCGCGGGTGGGGTTTCCGTGCCTGCCTTCCGATATCCCTTCAGGAGACACCACCGCCTGCCTACCTCCTTTCCCTCCCGGACTTGCCTTTCCCTCACGCCCGGGGGACACAGTCGGGGATCATCCCGTTGCACTAAACTCCCTTTCCTCACCCCTACGAGCCGAAGACGTAGCGCCCAGACGCCCGCCCCTAACAGAAACGCTTCTCTCTTGTAGAAAACAAAACTTGGGGCTCACGCCTCTCCCCTGGGTCCCTCCGCAGTCCCCAGGCTTACCCGATCTAGGGGACTCAGCGCCGGGACGCTGCTATGGACGACATTTTCACTCAGTGCCGGGAAGGCAACGCGGTTGCGGTGCGCCTGTGGCTGGACAACACCGAGAACGACCTCAACCAGGGGTAGGCTGAGGCGGCTGGTGGGGAGAGGATGGACAGAGTCCTACTCCTCTCCTCGACGTGGGGGTGCTCACATCTGGTGGAGGTGGCCGACTTTGCCATCCAGTGTGATGAGTGTTAAGCACAGCCTGTGGAGGGCAGAGGGTCTCCACAGAAGCAGTGTTGGAACTGAATCTTGACAGCTGAATAAGAGTTTCTCAGGCAGAGGCTGCAGAGAGATTTCCAGCCTCAGTGAACTGCATGGGCAAAGGCAGGGAGGCAAGACACAAAGCTGACAGTTTCAAGAAATTCTCTGGCGTTCCATATGGCTGGAGGATAGAGTACTTTTTCTGTGGGCTGCAGCATTGGATACAAGAGGAGAATGACAGGAGATAAGACTGGAGAGGTCGGTAGGGGTCAGCCAGATCATGCAAAGATATTTAGGCCATAATAAGATCTTTAAGAGAAAGCGCTTAAAGCTGTGTAGTAATATGATGAGATTGCCCATTTGTTAAGTATCATCTTGGATGCTTTATGAAGAGCAGGCAAGAATGGATATTAAGAAGCTATTCCAGAAGTGATGATGGGTTGGACCTGAATGGGGGCAGTTGAAAAAGAGAAGTGATACGATTCCAAAAATCTTTAGGCTGAAGACTTGGTGGGGCTTGCTGTGGGGAGTGAGGAAGGTCAAAGATGATGACCAGGGTTCTGGCTTGGACACTTAGTAGATGGTGGTTCCTTTTACTGAGATGGAGAAGACTGAAAGTAGATGATGAGTACTATTCTGGACATGTTCAGGTGACAATACGGTAGGTTGCTGGTTATGCAGATTTGGTGTTCAGGAGAGATCTGGGTTGGAGGCACAGATTTGGGAGATATCAGCATATAGATGATACCTGAAGACGTGTGTGTGAAGGAAAGAGCCTGCAAGAGTGGAAGACGAGAGCTTGGGATGAGAAGACTGCAATGAGACTGAAAACGAGCAACCAGAGGTTGAAGGAGAAACAGAAAAGTGTTGCAGTAAAGCTTAAGAGAATGTTTCAACAAAAGGGGAGTAGTCAACAGTAGTGTTTTAGTTGCTGTTCAGTGTAACTTTGACCACTGAATTTGCAATTAGGTTATATTAAATGATCTTAATGAGAGCCATTTAAGAGGAAAAACAGATGAAGAAACCAGACTATACTGGGTGAACATTTCCTGTGCTGGGTTCTGGAAGCCCAGAATCAGGTGTGTTGATCCCTACCCTCAAGGTGGTAGATTTGTGGCAGGTTAAAAAATGAATGGGAGGTGAGGAAATAGAGAAAGTGAATGTAAACAGCTTCTTTAAAATTGGCTAAGACAGGGAGGCAAGAAAAGCAGTAGTGATGGTGATTCAGAGTGGGGATTATAATCTATAAGGTTTGGGGAGTTTAGTTTTTAGGTTTGAGAGGTAAGGATCACCTGTCATCTTAGTTCAAGCTTCACTGGTTCCCATCAGACTGTATACAATTTCTCTCTTATAATTTGCGAAGTTCCCTTGTTCTATTTTTCATATTTCTCAAAGGGTGCTTGATAAAACCAGTAAGCGCCATTACTATTTCGTTGAAGAAACAGAGGCTTAGGCATCTAGGAGGACTCTGCTGCGAAAAGGTGGAGGGGCGGCATTAGGGAAACTAGAAGGCTTTGATGCTGGTTTGAGGGGACTGGGTCTGGGGGCCCAAGCTGGACATATGCTGGGTATGAGGGGGTAGGAGGGGTAATTTCCTGCAGGCATCTCTGGGATAGGAAGTCCAGACTCTACAGTGACAGGCAGCCGGACAGTTGGCAGAACCTTTGTGCCCATACTTTTGCCCTCAGACTCGTCTGCCCTGGGGCCACAGACTGCTGGAGGCCGATAAGTCAGGGCACAAGTTAAAGAACTGGGAGGCAAGACTGATAAGCAGTGGGTGGGAATTGCTTCCGGGGGATACCCACTTCCAGGGAAAGCTTTTGGCTATCTGTGTTAGCGGATGAGGGCGAGCTGTGGGAGGGAGATCAGTAAATTAGAGGCGACACTCCCCACCCCCAAATGCTGTGTGGGTGGCTGGGTTTAAGGGGCCTATCGGGGTGGCCAGACCCCTGACCAGCTCCAGGCCCCGCCTAAAGCCCCGGAATGGGAAGTGACCGCAGCACTAAGGCATCTGGAGGCTGCCAGCCCAGACCTCGGCCGGCCTCCTGCTCCGCCCCTTGGATCTGCATGCAGCCTGGGACTGCAGGGAATTTCCTTTTATGGCCCCAGGCTTGTCAGGCAGGCCCAGCTCCCACCCAATTGCTTTGTTTTTTGTATACTTTTTTGTTTATAAAATACATGCCCTTAAGAAAAGAAAAAAACTAGGTATAGGTTTCTTTGCACAGCAGCTGTTTTGTGTGCCCAGGATTTCTGAGTGTGGGAATCCACGTTTCATGTGGTAGTTTGTCATCTGCCTCATCAGTAATAACTTACCAAAAGCATTTCTCCTTTTCATGGTAAACCCTTCCAAAACGTCATTTTAATTCCATTCCACTTTTAGATTTTAGTTTCAGTACCAAAACCAGTCAGTAAGTTTGGCTCCCTCTCCCATGAGTTGTGGTTTTCCTTCTCCAAGACACCCTGCCACCCATCAGCATGAGCTGTACAACTGCTGTCATTCAGTCCCTCAAGAAGCTTAGTCTAATAGACAAGACAACCAAGTAACAGGTTCTTACAGTCCAGTGTAACAAGTGCTGTAGTAGGGGGATACAGAAGATGCAGTAGATAGAAAACAGGACCAACAGACATTGCAAAAATGGTACAGGAGAAACCAGATGAAGAGTGCTACCATCTAATGGGATAGGGCATACCAGGGAAGAATGGATGGATGCAGGTAGGGTGAAAATAATCAATCATATTATGGTTGAGTTTAAGCGGCCCCTGCGTGCCCCCTTGGTTGAGTGTGAAGCTCAGGGCAAGATCTGAACTGGACAGACTTAGGAGTTGTTGGCACGAATGAGAATTGAAGTCCCAGAGAGGTAAGGTTCCCCATGGAGGGTATGAAGAGTGACGGTCAGTTTCTCCTGTATCAAAGCTTCTTCCCCGTCCCACCTCCAGATCACTGACCATTGTCCCTTCCTCAAAGGGATGATCATGGCTTCTCCCCCTTGCACTGGGCCTGCCGAGAGGGCCGCTCTGCTGTGGTTGAGATGCTGATTATGCGGGGGGCACGGATCAACGTGATGAATCGTGGGGATGACACCCCCCTGCATCTGGCAGCCAGTCACGGACACCGTGATATTGTACAGAAGGTATGTATGAACCCCTCCATCACCCATGTTGCCTCTATACCTTGAGGTCAATCAGAAGCACTATAACAATAGAAAGTACGTGTGCTCTTCTTCCCCCCTCATACCCCAACACCCATCTCTCATTTGGGATTGACTGTGCCTTCTGCCTCTTCTGTCTGGCCATGGGGCCCAGCTGCTGCAGTACAAGGCTGACATCAATGCAGTGAATGAGCACGGGAATGTACCCTTACACTATGCCTGCTTTTGGGGCCAAGACCAGGTAGCAGAGGTAAGGACTTGGGCCCCAAGCCCTGCAATGGGTGGGAAGCAAAGTCTGAGCCTGAGGGGTAGATCCTGGAATGTTCAACCCATTCTGAGTGTTTGACACTTACAGGGTGTGTACTATCTGTGAGTTACTGCCAGGGAGGTAGCATCACAACCACCTTCTTATTCCAGGACCTGGTAGCTAATGGAGCCCTTGTCAGCATCTGTAACAAGTACGGAGAGATGCCTGTAGACAAAGCCAAGGCACCCCTGAGAGAGCTTCTCCGAGGTGCATCCTCTACCTTCCTCCCACTTGTGTCCTCTTATCTTGTCCCTCCCCACCTGTCTCCTCCCTCCGTTATCACATCTCAGTCCAAGACTGTCTTTCTTCCCCAGAGCGGGCAGAGAAGATGGGTCAGAATCTCAACCGAATTCCATACAAGGACACATTCTGGAAGGGGACTACCCGCACTCGTCCCCGTGAGTCACTGTTGTGGAGGGAGGGGGTGGTAACAGGAATAATCCTGGGCTCCTGGAGCAGGGTTAGGGGGAAGCTGGGGACCTGACCTGCCCACACTCTCAGGAAATGGGACCCTGAACAAACACTCCGGCATTGACTTCAACCAGCTCAACTTCTTGGCGAAGCTCAACGAGAATCATTCTGGAGAGGTGACCCCTGCCCTTTGTGACCCTCCCTCCCCAAACCCTCACAAATTACCTGCTATGCACCTGCTTTAAGCTTCTCCTTCTGCAGTTAGTGGGCAAGGAAAACAGTGGCCTTTGTTAAAGCCTCCTAACGCCCACCTGTCCCTCAGCTATGGAAGGGCCGCTGGCAGGGTAATGACATTGTCGTGAAGATCCTGAAGGTTCGAGACTGGAGTACAAGGAAGAGCAGGGACTTCAATGAGGAGTGTCCCCGGCTCAGGTGGGGCAAGACCTGATAGAGAAGTTGCTGGTTCCAAGGAACCCTGAATAGCACTGAGAGGGAGATCTTTTTGGCTGGGTCTCAGCCATGGACACTGTCTCCTCCCAGGATTTTCTCGCATCCAAATGTGCTCCCAGTGCTAGGAGCCTGCCAGTCTCCACCTGCTCCTCACCCTACCCTCATCACACACTGGATGCCATATGGATCCCTTTACAACGTACTACACGAAGGCACCAGTGAGTAGGGATGTGGGTGCCCTTGCTTGGGGTGGGGTAGGGTGGAGCATGAACCTCTCTAATTTAACTCCTACCTCCTCTTGTAGACTTTGTTGTGGACCAGAGCCAGGCTGTGAAGTTTGCATTGGATATGGCAAGGGGCATGGCTTTCCTACACACATTAGAGCCCCTCATCCCACGACATGCACTCAATAGCCGTAGTGTAATGGTGAGGTCACAAGTCCACTCCTGGCCCAGGCCCCCAGAGGCCCTTCACCTATCTAGAATAGGACTCACCTTCTTCCACGTATCTTCTCTTTCTCAGATTGATGAGGACATGACTGCCCGAATAAGCATGGCTGATGTCAAGTTCTCCTTCCAGTGCCCTGGGCGCATGTATGCACCTGCCTGGGTGGCCCCTGAAGGTGGGTGAGGCCATCATATTGGGAGGTAGAGAAGAGCCACCTCAGTATTGGTGGAAGGGGGCAGAGACAGGACAGGACAGGCAGTTGGAACAGACAAGTCCTGTCGCTTCAGCTCTGCAGAAGAAGCCTGAAGACACAAACAGACGCTCAGCAGACATGTGGAGTTTTGCAGTGCTTCTCTGGGAACTGGTGACACGGGAGGTACCCTTTGCTGACCTCTCCAACATGGAGATTGGCATGAAGGTGGGAACAGAGCTGTGTACACTTGTGCCAGGGGATGTCAGGGGATGGTAGTGGTGGTGGCAGTTCTTAAAGTGAGCCTGGGCTCTTCCCACACTTGTTTGTATATACAATAATCTTGTGCCAAGGGCTAGAGGCCACTCCCCCCATGATAGACTCAAGTTCTGATGCTCACCTTGTTTTTCCTGTATTTGCAGGTGGCACTGGAAGGCCTTCGGCCTACCATCCCACCAGGCATTTCCCCCCATGTATGTAAGCTTATGAAGATATGCATGAATGAAGACCCTGCTAAACGGCCCAAATTTGACATGATTGTGCCTATCCTGGAGAAGATGCAGGACAAGTAGGGCTGGAAAGTCCCTGCCTAAACTCCAGAGGTATCAGGACACGGTTGGGGGAGTGCACCCCCGGAAAGCAGCAGGCCTCTGGTTGCCTCCCTTGCCTCCAGTCATGGTACTACCCCAGCCACGGGGCCCATCCCTTATCCCCATCCCTACCACTGTGGCCCCAAAAGGGGCTGGACTCAAAGCTTTGCCACTTGTTACACGGTGTCTCCCAGCATGGGAGGGACCAGCCCTGCCTGTCACAATAAAGTTTATTATGAAAACAGGCTGGTATGGGGACATGGGGACAAGCAAGTACATTTAAGTTGGGTGGCTCAGGTGAAGTAATGTGGCTTCTTCACATTGATGCCATACTCGCTGAGGGCAGGGGTCAAATCCTCCATGGTTAGAGTGTACTTGCGGTCCTGAGGGAAGACGGAAGAGCGCTAGCTGAGCACGGAATCCCAGAATTCAGTCCCAGATGGGTGACCCTGAGTAGGTCTTAAACCTCCCCTAAGGCTTAGTTTCCCCAAAGGCGTTTCAGGATAAGTTAAGTGTCCCCTGCTGTGGGGGTAATTACTGATTCAGTGAACTTCCCCCTCACACCTTACTCTTGCTTCGGGAGCTGCCAGAGGCCGTGCCCTTCATTTTGCAGTGCTGTAGGGCATCATTGGCAATATCTGAGATGAATTTCTGGGCAGCTAGTGAGATGAGCCGAATTCTAGAGAGAAAAAACTGATATGAGAAAGACGGACAACAGCCTCCACACAAGCACCCAAAGCTCTAACCTGCCCAGAGTTTACTCACATGCGTGGGTCTGAGGCCTCAAAGCCAGCACGGTTTAGGTAGTAACCAGTCACTGCATCTGGGATCTGATAAATCAATTAGACAACTGTCAGTCTGAGCCCTGCTGGGCTGAGTTGAAGGGTAGGGGAAATGAAGGACTGGCCTGGCTAACAGGAAGCTCACAGTTTGGGTGTGCAGAGGGGATAAATCACAAGGAGGGGAGCAAATACAAGAGGACGCTGAAAAGCCAAGAGGTGTGGCTGAAGGTTGGTGTGACAGCGGGCCATGTAGCCTTGTTCAGGCGGGAAGCCCACCGTAGGCGTGTAATCCTCAAGCTGCATCAGGAAGTCCACCAAAGGCGTGCTGGACACCACTGGCTTCACGTCTCCGTTGGCCGCACTAGGCAGTACGTAAACCCCGTTAGACAAGGCCCCCTCTGGGGGCGCCGCGCCGCCCGCTGACACTGGAACTGGAGGGGAACCAGCGAACTGAGACACGCAGGTAGGAGGCTCAGGGCCCCAGCTAGCTCTGTCTTGTACCCTCTGCCCTCACCCGCCCAAGGCGCCACCCTCGCCCTCACCCGTCCCGGCCCTCACCCGTCCCGCGCCGCTCTGCCGGCTCCCCAGCCCGCGCCGCCACGGGTCCCGTGCCCCCAGACGCGGCTCCAGCCCCAGGTCCCCCTGCGGTCCCCGCGGGGCTGGCCTTGTTCTCCGCAGCGGTGCTGGCAGACAGCGCGGCGGGGGCCGAGACCGGGGGCGCGGGGCCCGGGGCCGAGGCGGCGTTGGCTGGCGCCGCCTCGGGGTCCGCGCCGGAGCCGCTGCAGCTCATCGGGCCGGTGGAAAAGGCGGCGAACAGAGCCCCTTCCGCTTCCGCTCACGTACGCACACAGCAGGGATGACGCCACACGCTCCACCATTCGCCCCGCCCACTCCATGGTAGCTCTCTCTCCCGCCTCCCACCTCCTCTCGTGGCCGTTTGGTTAGTTAGACGAAATTAACCGAATAAGTCGGAGACCAACTCAGTGAGAACTGGGTTGGCCGTCGACATTCCGCCTCGCGGTATTCCAAGTAGTTCTACTGGGATAGGAACCCTTGTACGTCGGAGTTTGTTCTGTGCTTCTGGGGACCACATTCAGCCTGATGCTCAAAGATTTTGCTTTGGAACGAATAGGCCCCACACCCCCTCGGACCATGAGTTGTCTGCCAGCCTGCATCCCCTCAACCGGTTGCCTTTCTGTGGATTCCGATTCATAGCGACCCTATAGGGCAGAGTAGAACTGCCCCATAGGGTTTCCAAGACTAAATCTTTAAAGAAGCTGACTGCCACATCTTTCTGTTCCGCTGAGTGGCTGGTGGGTTCCAACCTCAGACTTTTCAGTTAGCGGCCAAGCGCTTTAACCACTGTGCCACTAGGGCCCCTTGCATCCCCTCTAGTTCCCTTTCTTAGCCTTTTAAGGGTTCACAGTGGAGTTCAAGAACCCTCCCCTGTCCCAAGAGGTAAGGGCAGTAGGCGGGCTGCACGCAGTGCTGTGCTGTGAAGGTGAGAGGTGTTTCAGCCTGAGTGAACAGCATATGCAAAATAACAGCTGGTGAAGGCACGGAATTCTCAATTCAGCAAACATTTATTTAATTCCCCTTTACCAACGCCTGAGCTTTAGCCTGGGGACGTAAAGTTGAATAGGACAAAATTCAAGTCCTCTGGGCATTAATGGTTTTGGAAAATGAGGCAAACAAACTGGCAATTTCAATACTATGTGATAGTTACAATGCTAGAGGTAGCAGAGGGCGTGCAGTGCACGGGAAGAAGAGAACTAACAACTGCTGCCTACTCCAGTGTGCCAGGCACTTTGTCAATGTTATTCCATTTAATTATTCCCTGATGTTTCTAAGGCAGGTATTGATATCTCCACTTAACAGATGAGGAAACAGGCTCAAAGAGATAAACATACTCGCTCAAGTCCTTGCGCTAATTTATATCAGAACCAAGAATAAAACAGGTTTGATTTTTAGAAATCCAGGACTTTTCTGCCATACCAAAATCACCTAATTGAGCCTCAGGAAATCAAAAAGGTTCACAAGAGAAGGTAACTTCCAGCTGAGTCTTGAAAGAATTCTGGAAATTAACCACGCAAAGGAGTAGGTGGTAGGAACAGCTTGAGCAAAGGTGAGAGTATGGAGGTGGGGGTGGGGGGTGGGGATGAGGGGAGAAGGATAAACTATTGTTACTCAGGCACAAACATAAAGGAAAGGACTGGGTCTTGTGGGCTTTAATAAAAAGTCTGAATTTTATGCAGTAATCTTTGGAGGGTTTTAATCAAGTAAGCGATCTGATGGGATTTGCATTTTACTCTGGAAGATAGTTTAGGGAAAGACAAGGACACTGTTTTTGTAAAGGCCTCCTATATTACAGAGGACAGAGAATATGACTCCAAGCTAATGTAGTAGCAGCAGGGGTGGAACGAAGTGAGTGAGCTCTGGATATACTTAAGAAATACAATTGGCAGGAAGAGTAAAAGGTGAAAGTAGAGATCTCATTCCAATGGATTGAGGAGTGACATGAAGTGAAACAGTGCACAGTCAGCATAGACAACCCTTTGGAAAAGCCTGGATGAAAAGAGAAAGAAGAGATAGGGAATAATGAAAAGAGAAAGAAGAGGTGGGGAATATGGGCACCCAAAAGTGCTGGTTATTGCATTTTGCAGGGGGAAGTTGAGGCAGGAGTGTGGAGAACTGAGTATAATGGAGCAGGGTAGGGTTGGGAGTCAAGCCCAGCTCACAGTTTTGCAAGGTTAGGGGGGTAAGCTGTCTGTCACAGTCAATGGCTGTGGGTTCAGCAGGGGTCCCAACAGGGCAAACTAAGAGACCAAGACACCGGCTGCAAGGCAGGGGACAGGTCAGCTCTCCTGGCAGGAAAACATCAAGTGTTGAGTAGTGTCTTCAGCAGAGCTGGGAAGTTGGGTGTTCCCCAGCCTGTCACAGGATCCCAGCCAGGGCCAGAGCAGAACCCCTGACCCTGCACCTCTTCATTCAGACAGGACTCATGACAGCCATGGGTTACCTAGGGAGGAAGTGGGCATCAGATCTGGGCTTGGTGGTTCCAGTACTGCCAGATTGCATATCCTCACCCTGTACTCACATCCCAGAGGGTTCCCCACCCCATCACAACTGCCCCAAGTTCATCTCAGTATTCCTCGTACTGGTATGAAAGCATCCACACCTTCCCTACAAACTTACATCGAAGAGTCCCGCTCCATGCTGCTGGTAGAGCCTTGGATTGAGAAAGCCAAGAGGGGGGTGGCCATTGAGGATTCTGTGCTCATTTATCAGGGATAGGAGTCCCCCAAACACTGGAGTAGAGGCCTGAAAGGGGTGAGGGTTCAAGTAGAGGCCAGGGGTTGAAAGTGATTGGACTTATTGGGTGGGGGTGGAGGTGGGGCAGGGGAGGGATGTCTAAAAGGATCAGAAATGTCTGCAGAGTCAGGGTTCTGGGTACAAGGTCTTGGTGGTAGGGGGCAAGGACAGTTCCTGAGTGGGGGTTTCGAGTCAGGCTGATTCTCACCGAGGTGCCAGAGACCCAAGGAATGGGCACACTGTTGCTGACCACCCAGTAGCCATCAGAGAGTGCAGCTACATCTGGGTAGGCACGGCCACTGGCATTGAAGTAACTAGATGGTGGCAGATGGGGGCTGGACTTCAGAAACTGGGATACAGCTTCCTCCTGAAAGGCATTGTTGAATGAGTATTGGCCTGTGGCCTGCCCAGAAATCTGTTGAACTGAGGATCCCCCACCCCACCACCACCTATCCATCCACACAAACATACACGTACCTGATATGAAGGCCGTGGAAACACATTGCTGAAGCCACCACCACTGATATAGTCAACAATCTCATTTGTGATGCGGAAGGGATTCTGGAAGGACGTGCCTCCCACTGTGGTGACATAGGGGCTGAGGGCAGAACATAGAACTCAGATTGTAGGGGTACCCAAGGAGACCTCAAGATGTGTGAGGATGAGTGAGTATGGCCTGGGTCTTGCTAGAGGGCCTAGATTCCATGAGGCAGTGTGCGTAGTTATAACTAAGAGGTTTTGAGCCCTTAAGGCATGGACTCAGGTGACTGTTCATACTTTTCTATACAGAACACCCACCAAATCCTCCATTAAAATGCCTGGAGACTGGGGAGGAGGTGCACTGGGAGCTGTGTCTCACTCAGGAGACCTGGGGCCTGGGACCTACAGGAAGAGAGAGGGGTATAGCAAGCAGGGCAGGTAAAGCTGAGGGCTGAGTAACAGAAGAGCCTGGTGAGGTCAAGGCAAAGGTTCCAAGTCATGAAATCATGGGTGAAGGATTGATGATCACAGGTAAGTGGTGGGCTAGGGTGCTTACCTGGAGGCAGGGAAGCTGGGACGGAACTGGTGTCTTCCAGAGACAGACCAACACCCAGCCCCACTGTCACCTGGGAGAGAAACCAAGTTTAGCACTCAGATTGATTGGTCAGAGCTTGGTCTGTTGGTTCAGAAGACAGACAGGAAATTCAGGTGTCAGGAGGTAAGAATTTAGAAGTCAGGTCAATGATCTCTGTTGAGTATCTGAGTTCAGATTCTGAGTCAGAGATCAGGCTCAGGGATCACTGTGGGACAAAGGTCCCAGGTTGGGTGAGTGGCGGGGGGGGCTCTAAGTTGAGGGTAGGAGGTCACCTGAGGCAAACAGCAGAGTGAGACCCCGAGCAGCAGCCTTCATGAGCTCAGTGTTGACCCGATGGATGTAGGCGCTGCTGAGGGAGTCCTCATCATCTCCATAGCTCACGGTGTGCACATGTGGCAAGGCTGACTCATTACTGAGCAGGAGGAGCCACTGTAGGAAGGGCTCCTGTGCCTCATGCCGGCCTGGATTTATGGGGGCAAGGGGCACAAGGGTAGTCATTGCAGGGTTGTCAGCATCTCCCTCCAGATCATGGGAGGGGAGTCCCTTGAGGCAGCAGGGATCAACACCCACCCACACCCTCTTCCCCACCAACCAATGCCCTTGGCAGTACCAGGGCTACTATAGACCCAGGTGGAGATGTTGGCGCCAGCACTCATCAGGTACTCCACATCTAGACTGGCCTCGATCCCGGCCCAGCCCTGGCCCTGTTTTCCGACCACGCGGGCTACTGATGCCTGGTGTGCAAAGTTCCCACCAAAGAGGCGCATGAACTTGGCCAGGTCTGAGTCATGGAAGTACTGCTCCAGGAACTATGGAGGGAGTCAGAGCAGGGATCGTGGGTCAGAGGGCACAGCCCCAGGGATCAGGACTGGGGACACTGTGTGTGACAAGGGATGAGAGCCCAGGAATTTGAGTCAGAGGGCAAAGGATGGTAAGGCACTAAGGACACCTGGCAGGGGGAAGGGATGTGAGGACCTAGGTTTATCTGCATGGCTCACCTGGGCACAAGCCTGGCTGTTGTTGGTGGTGCCAGAGCCTACGTCTTGTGCTGTCAGGTTGTATCGCTCACGGATCACAGATGGGGTCACCCCCAGATGCAAGCCAACAGTCCCTGCCACCTGTGGCTTAGGGCGTTGCCTCAGGGATGATGTAGCGGGGAAGCGGTGCAGCCCCCCCACTGTGGGAAAGGGTCAAGCTTGAGACCAACCTCCACTTTACCGCTGACCCCACCCCAATCCCCCATGGCTCCTAAACTTCCCCAGTTCCTGGCCCTGCCTGCCCCAACCCCCACCAATCCCACTGGGTGTTACCAAAGTCCACATGGGGTGCCAAGGCCTGTGGGAGCTGATATGGATGTGGGGACCTTACAACATGGGTCTCTGCAGGTCCCCCCACATAGCGATGAAACTCAGCCCCAGCGAGCAGGAGTTCTGCCTGTCTGGAGGGCAGAGACCAAAGAAGACAGAAAACATGGAACAGAGCAGATAAGGCCACTTGAGCATCACTGGGCAGTTGGTCATCTCCTCATGCATCAGGCAGCTCCCACCTACAAGTGCCCAGCAAGCTCTCACCTTCCTCCCTTTGAAGTGACTAGTCTCCTGCTGGGATGATCAGAACCCTCCATGGGGCAATCATTTCCTCTCACCTGACGCTCAGCCAGCAAGTCAGAAAGTCCTGTGTGGTGACTGAGTGGCAGTTCCGGGCTCCAGCTGCCAAGAGCCATTTTTGGACTGTGTGGAGGGTCAGTGGTGATGGCTGGACCAGCTCAGCCACATCCTTGAGGGTCAGGTATTTTCCTGCAGGATTCAGGAGAGGATCTTACCTTCACTCATTGCTTTCCCAAGTTGCCCTTTTTAAATCCCAGCAAGGAGACATTAGGGCTTCCCAGGGAGCCTGGAGCAACGTCTTGAGGGATAAGTAGGAATCTTCCAGCAAAAAGAGGGCTGTACAAGTGCAGGATATATTGGAGGAACAGAGGAAGAAAAGGCTGGAGAGACCTGGAATGCCATGGCTACACCATAGTATGCATTGCCAGGATAGTGAAAAACAAATGAGGCTAATAAATTAAAATGTTCCATTTTAAGTTTATTTCTAATAAAAATTTTCAAACCTTTTGGAGCCAATTATAAGATGGCATCTAATGTAGCTCAAATCTTCATATGTGTTGATTTTAATCTTAACGTGATGGCAAGTCACTCTTTCCCGCATGGAGCCAGGCACACTAGTGCCGGTCTCCTGGGTGAATCTGAGACCGCCTCCCCCCAGCGCTCCTCCCTGCTGTGAAAGGCTTTATACAGGGCAGGGCACAACCCAGCTTGACCATTGGAGAGATTGTTTTGGAGCAGAGTGGGGAGTGGAGGGGAGGAGACTGCAGAGACCAGTCGGGGGCTGGGCAGTAGTCCAGGTGGGAAATAAACAACTAAGTTGGTGCTAGTGGGGGATGGGGAGAAGTGACTGATCTAAAGGCTATTTAGGAACTGAAACCAGCAGCCTTAGTGTCTGAATAGGGGAGAGAATGGGAATGAAGTATGGGAGGAACTTGAGATGACAAGCACCTACATGTACTAGATGCTATTCCCCATTTGTCTGGTAGCTGGTAAGTGGTAGAGTCAGAATTTGATTCCAGATCTGATACAAATCTGTGCTCTTAACCACATCCACAACTTTTAGGTTTCTAGCCCGAAGAACACAAGCGGAAAGTTTGGGGGGAAGAGTATGCATTAGTTCTGGACAGTTAAGTTCCAGTTCATTCTCCTGTTCAGAAAGTCTTCAATGACAGCCACAACCACATATCACCTCCTTTGACCGGCACCGATAGCATGACCCTGACGTGATGTGTGCCATCCATGCCTCGCCCAGATCTCTGTTCCTCCACTGCATCCCACATGCCACCTAGTCCCAGCAGGCACTGACCGTAGCGAGGAGAGCCGGGATCCGACACAGCCTGCACCAGCTCCGAGAGTTTCTCCAGGTTCTGCTGTCTCAGGGCAAAGGTGAGACTCAGCTCCTCCTCAGGGTCCAAACGGCCCAGGGACACCCAGCCTGGGGGCAGCCTGCAGGGCAGGAGTCCAGGTTCAGGGTCATGGCCTTGGTTAGGGTGAGGATGGGAAATAGGGGTCATGGAAGTTTCAGGATTAGAGGCTGAGACCTTGTGTAGGCTCCCCGGGGCAGATATGGGTCATAGGAGGTGAAAGGTGGGGGATTGAGCCTGGGAACCTGGGGATAAGGCTGTGGAGCACATTCCAGGAACTGGTGAGGGGGTAAGGGAGACTAGGACCAGGAACGTGGATGCAGGACAGGACACGGAGAAGGGCCGTTCAGTGTGAAGTCACTCACGTCCGCCGCTGGTCGGGCTCTGGGCTGTAACTGCATTTGCCAGCGACAGTGAGGGCAAGGAGCCCTAGGAGGCTGTTGGGGGAAGGCAGGCGGGTTTCAGCAGGAGCCGGGTTGTCGTTGTTTCCCATCCCCCAACATGCACTCCTCCATCCCCGCTCCTGGGGCCCCATTTTCTCACCAGGCTCGGAGTCCCATTCCGTCTTTCTGCCAAACTGCTGTCATGTGATGGATCACGTGAGCCCTATATTCTTTCTCCACCATACCCATCCCCGCCGTGACGGTACTAGCTCCTCCCTCGGATGGGTGGTTCTGAATGCTGGGGGAAAGGTGCCATTCGGTTTCTCCTCTCTGGCCCGCCAAATACTGGGTAAACCCAGAGCTCCCCACCAAGACTCCCCCAAGTCCTATGTGCCACAGTAATGGGCTTCACCACAAGGTGTAGGGGACCTGTGTTCTCCCTAGCTATGTGATGTCAGAAGAGTAATTTCACCTCTCTGAGCTTAGGTCTCTTCATTTGTAATACAGATACTATTATATTAAAACTGACCTTCCTCACAGGGTTGCTGTGAAAATTCACACTGAGACAAAGCTGGCAGATAGCTCAGCAGAGAGCCTGACATGGCAAAGGCTCAACAAATGTGACCACTTATTAGTGTGGATACACAGCGGCCCAAGAAAAACCACTTAGCTGCTCTTGTATCTCCCCTACCCTCCAGGTCAGGAGCTGGTCATCCCCAAGATCCCTCAGCACCAAGCCAATCCCTCTAGCTCGATCTCACAACCAAGCCCCTGCTGGCTGCCTTCTCCCAGGCCTCCTGCCCATTTTAGAGGGAAAGATTGTCAAGAAGTATGATAGACAATCTCAGGTAGGCTCCTGAGCTCCAGTACTACCCCCACCCAAGATGTCGCCCATGTCCATCACATCCCTATGGTTCCTGAGGTGCCCACTTCCAATCATCCCCCTGCCCCTATGGCCTCACAGAACAGAGCCAGAGACTGGATACAAACTGCAGTTTATTAAGGCTCCAGAGTGAGAACTGGCACTTGGTTCTGCGCAGGGACCGGGGCAGGGGCGTCAGTGGAACCCAAACGAGCTGGGCCCAAACAGGTTGGAGGGACCTCCCCCACCCCCTAATAAATAAAGTCTCAGCTCCATTCCCCGGTGCTGGTGCAGGGCAGGAAGCCCTCAGGGAGAACACAGGGCTGCTGCCTCGTTCAGATTTCCCCCCACATTGGACCTGGGCCCCAGGTCAGTGCCCCAACAGGGCCTCTCTGGTACTGGTGCTCTGAGGGGCTGGGATTTGAGACCTGCCCCCACTGAAGGAGTTTGGGGTGGGGATCTGGGGCCCGAGGGTGGCCTCCTCTGCGGCCAATCATAGTCCGAGGCTGCCGGGGGCAGGCTTAGAGTAGGGCCTGCATTGGGGACACTGTGCGCATCCCAGGTCGGGGCCCAGCCTGGGCCACAGCTAGATGTGCAGCTCTGTGTCATCAGGCGGCTCCAGGCCAGATTCTGAGCTGAGTGCCGAGGCTGAGGGGCCCTGGGCCACCCCAAATGGTGAGACGACGGGTGAGCGAGCAGCCAGAGGAGACAGTGAGGGCGAGAAGCTGGGGGACATGGCAGCTGAGGACAGGGAGCCTTCGTGACTGATGGGGGAGCGGTGAGAGGCTGGTGGGAAAATGGCCCTGGCTGCAGCTGTGCTGGCTGGCTTAGGCGGCACAGACTTGGCTCCTGGGTGGGCCACAGCGGTGATGAGGGGTGGTGGGTCAATACGGGGAGCTGGGGGACATGGCCGAGCTTCATCCTTGAGCCGGGCGATCTCTGTGAAGACACTGGCCAGCGGCTGGAACTGAGGGCACCAGCTCAGCAGGTAGTCCCAATTATAGCTGCCTCGGAGCTCCTCCTCGCCAGCCACGATGGCTGTCAGCGCACCTGCCACGCATGGCTTGCCATCTGCTGGGAAGCCATAGTCCCCAGTGGGTGCGGGGCTCAGGCCACAGCCCCCCAGGAATGCTGTGGAGGTGGCGGGGGGGCCCTCCTCTCGGTACAGAGTGGCTCCCGTGCCTGGCAGCAGCAGCCCTGCCTTGCGGCCCTTATACCACATGTCAGGGGCGGGTGGCTCGCAGGATGTGTCACTCAGTCCATCTGCATCCTGCTGGATGCCCGAGTCGGGACCACGGGCAGCCAGGGAGGAGGCCACACTGGCCACACGGGGAAACTCATTGATCATGCGGATCTCATCATCCTCGGCAGCCTCTGCTGAACCTCGGCCACTTGAGTGTGAAGGGTCCAGGGAGCCACCACGGGGGTAGGGTCCTCCAGCTCCTGGTCCACCATAGCTGGGGAGAGTCTGGTGATACAGGTGCTCTGAGGGAGGTGGGCTGGGTGGCTCCCGGCCCAGCTTCTGCAGGGAGCCACTGGCCAGGGTTGCTGCCTGGGACATTGGGCCAGGGGCTGCCTCAGCCTTGCGGTTTCGTGCCCGCACCAGCCCGAGGACCAGGGCTGCCAGTGCAAGCACCACCACAACTCCCAGCGAGGCTGCCACAGCCCCCACCAATAGCAGGTTGAGGTCAGGTGCCAGGCCCAGGGCAGTGTGGGTGATATCCACAGTCACAGGCACTGTGGCACTTCGAGAGGCAGGCAGCGGCCCCCGTGCCACCACCTCCAGCCTCATTTCCCGTGGTGCCTCACGCCGGGTCCGGCCCCCACCCCCAGAGGTGCCTGTCCCACTGCCTGGTGCCTGGCTGTCCACTCGCAAGTACAGGGCACCTGTAGTCTGGTTGATACCAAAATAGGGGGAAGAGGTGGCAAGGGAATAGAGTACCAGGCCGTCGGCACCCCCATCCTCGTCTGTAGCCTGCACGTGACCCAGGCTGTGACCACGCCGGGCACCTTCTGGAACTTGGAAATGGAAAGCTGGAGCCAGGAATACGGGGTCATACTCATCCTCGCCGGTCACCAGCACTGACACGGTGACCGAGGCTGAGAGATTCCCAGCATCAGCAGCCCCTACTAGCAGCCAAAAGCTTCCTGTATGCTCATAGTCAAAGGGCACTCGTGCCCGCAACTCCCCTGTTGAACTGTTCAGGGCAAATGCCTCCCGGCCCTCGGGTCCCGGCCCGGCCTCCAACAGGCTGTAGTGGAGCCTCCCAAAAGCCCCGGCATCTCCATCAATTGCATGCAGAGTGGTGACAAGAGTGCCCGGAGGCTGGTTCTCTGCCAGGCTGGTGCTGAGCAAGCTCAGTGGGAAGGCTGGGCCATGGTCATTCACATCCTGGACCTCAATTGTCACCGGTGCCAGAGCAAAATGTGCCCCGGCTGGGTCAGCAGCCTGCACTACAAGCTGATGTCGAGCCTGGGTCTCACAGTCCAGGGCGCGGGCCAGGCGCAAGGCCCCTGTACTCTCATCCAGCTCAAAGAGCCCCAAAGGGTCACCCGAGCTGAGGGTGAAGTGCACAAGGCCATGAGGACCGGGGTCGGCGTCAGAGGCCTCCACATGCAGCAGCTCAGCTCCAACAGGTGTGTCCTCGGGTACCGCCATACGGTAGGATGCCCGGGTGAAGACAGGTGGATTGTCATTGACATCCAGCACAGTGATGGTGACTGGCACTGCTGAGCTGCGAGGTGGCTGTCCCCGGTCAGCTGCAGCCACTGTTAGATTGTACTGGGTCATGCTCTCGAAGTCCAGAGGCTCAAGCAGCACCAGGCAGCCCAGTGCTTGGGGGCCTGGTCCACCACCCGCCCCAGCCTCAGCTAGCCGGGGCTCCAGCTGGAAGACTCGGCCCCGGTTGCCACTGACGATGCTGTAGTCCACAGCAGCATGGGTGCGGCTCCCATCAGCATCTGTGGCCTCCAGGGTAAGTAGGGTGGAGCCAGGGGGCAAGTCTTCAGTCACAGCCACGCGGTAGTGTGGCAATGTGAAGCTCGGGGCATGGTCATTCTGGTCCTGCAGCTGCACGTGCACTGTGGCTCGTGCTGCCCGGCCTGGTGCCCCATGGTCGCGTGCTTCCAGCACCACATCCACTACTCCTGGTCCCTCCTGGCCCAAGGCCGCTGTTCCTACCGTCATGAACAAGGTCCCTGAGATGAGAAGGGAATGGAAAGAAACTTGCATTCAGCAGAGGCAGTGGGGGAGCAGGGGAGTGACACTTCAGGGTCTAGGAAATGGCTCTGTGCCAGGAGACCATGGAATGGCTTCTAGGACTCAAAGTTCAGGGAATGACTTTTAGTCATGCAATCAGGAAAGGGCTTACAATACAGACAGAGGGGAAGAAATGTCCTCCCTGGGTCAGATACAGGGGTTAAGAGTTTGGGCAACAAATTCTAGAAAAGAGGTCAGAATATGGCCCAACATGGTAAAAAATTAGAGCCAGATCCTAGGAAAGACGCACCGTTGTTGGGGTCAACGCTGAACCCCTCAGCAGGGGAAGCCAGGTGGTAGGAGACGTGACCATTGGCACCTGAGTCCCGGTCAGTGGCAGAGACAGAGAGAATGGCACTGCCTGGGGGTGTGTGCTCAAGGAGGGTGACCTAGGGTGTGAGGAAAAGTGTTTGTGGCCAAGTTATCCAGCTACCCTGGCCCCACTCAGCCTATGCTCCAGAGCTTGGCCCCATGAGCCTCGCCTGGCATCCAGCATGGCATCCACCTCCTTAATGTTCAAATGAGAATTGTCCCTCTCCCTCCTTTTCTGTGCACAGGATACAGAACTTAGACACAGTTCACTTGGAGGACTTGAAGAGGCTGGTCTGAGAAGGGACCCTCCCATCTCCAGAGCGCCATCCCCAGGTCAGCTCCGAAGTCCAGCCCCCTCCAGCTGCTTCTAGCCTGGTCACTTCCGCCCCATGGGAACAACCCTGGGCTCAGGTGTGGGGATGTCCAGGGGCACTGGTACCTGGTAGAGGCTCTGTGAGAAGGCAGGTGCATTGTCATTGACATCCTCTACAAGCACTGTGAGATTGGCGCAGCCCTCGTGAGGCCCGTCGTGCGCCAGCAGCTGCAGGTAGTAGCGGTCATGCTTTTCGAAGTCCAGGGGGCCTGTGAGGGAGACGCGGCCCCCATAGCGGCCAACGCTGAAGGGATCCTGGGGCCCAGATGGGTTCAGCACATACCATAACACTGGTCCCGAGTCCACGTCATTCCCTGTTACCTGTGCAATCTCTGAGCCCAACAGTGCATCTGCAACACATGGAACAAGTGTGTTTGGCTAGGTCCAAGGTGCCCCTTGAGCCCCAGGGTAGGAAACCATGTCTCCCTG